ATGAGTGCGTTGGAGACCTTCCCCTTCTCTTAACATTGATAACGAGTACCTCTTCATGTGTCAAGTGGATTGTTACGAGCCGCAACCGCTGTGAAATTGATGAGATCTTTCGACAAACACCCGCGAAAGTTGCACTCTCTTTGGAATCCCATGAGGCATCTGTCTCTAAGGCTGTAAACAGTTACATAAGTTATAAAATTGGCCAATTGACTGAGAGAAAGAAACTGAAACAGAAGGCATTGCAAGAACTTCATGATTATCTATCTCAGAACGCACAGGGTACCTTTCTCTGGGTGGCTTCGATGTGTCAACAACTGGAGAGATGCCGAGCCTGGGAAATCCCCAGCCAATTATATCAACTTCCTCGGGATCTTTGTAAGCTTTATGCGCAGATGATGGACCAAATCCGCAAGTCTGACAGCTGTGATCTCTACATGAGGGTTCTTGCCGTCGCTTCAAGGGCTTCCCGGCCTCTCACTTTTGTGGAGCTAATAGTTATGGCAAGCCTGGACATTGATGAGGAAACACTCCCTGATCTCATACTGGAATGTGGTTCATTCCTGACGACGAAAGGCAATACCATTGTGTTCGTCCACAGTTCTGCTAAAGACTTCTTGCTCAAAGAATCAAGCAACTTGCTTTTCCCATCCGGGCTTGCTCAACATCATTATGATCTCTTACAGCGGTGCATGGCTACCTTGCAAAGCCTCCACAAGGATATTTATGGCTTTTTATATCCGGTAGTCTCATTAGATGAGGCACTCCGAAATTTTCCCAATCTGGATCCCTTGGGTAGCTTAAAGAATGCATGCGTTTTCTGGCCCGATCATGTGCGAGGGGCGTATTAGCTCGGTGGCCAGGATAAGGCAAACGACGAGACCGGTGGGGCTGGTATTGGTTATAATTCGAATCCATCAGGAAACTAACGACGGGAAGGCACCTGGAATTATACAGTCTGTTTCCGAGCCCTATCTTGTCGGTAAGTGGCCCAGGAAGCACGCTCAGAGGTGAGCTTATGTGAGAGAAGAGCCTCGTGATCTCGTGATACGCAACTAGTCTTTTGCTCCTAGCTCTAGGAGACAGCGAGGTATAACTAAAATTACCATGCTTAAATGGGTTGACTGACAATGGGTCTAGGGTAATTAGCACGTACTAATGGGAGCATAACCGGGTCACTCTGAGTGATGACGAACAACAGTCTTAACGCCTTGTCGACTTCGAGTGCAAGATTGGGAGTGGCGGAACCGCGCTGTTAAAGAGCTAGGCTGCGCTGAAATTTCTCTCTTAATTCTAAAACATAAGCTTGATGAGATGCGAAATGAAGCCAAAGAGATTGAGGACTTTTGCTACCGCTGGCACTGTGCAATATGGGTGACGAGAGACCGACTGTGATTGAGCATTATGAAGTCAAAGATCTTGGGGAATAGGAGAAAGTGAAAGCTCCTGGATCGCGCGGTGAAGGTAAAGCAGGATGCCGAAGATGGTGAGTACAAGGGCGTAAACGAGACGCGACTTGCCAAGCGCGCTGAGCCACGTGAGTGCATCTGTCGTTTGGTTTCGCCACGTGGACTCGGCATGGGATTGCCGGCTTGGCCGATGAACGGGTTTGAGGCTGAATGGCATGGATGATTGACGGCGCATTGGACCGTTGGCTGATGTCCATTTGTTTTAAGCAGAACTGGCAGAATGCGAGACACAGATGCCAGAGCGAATTGCGTTTAGCGTTGAGAGCATTGTGGTTTTGTAATTTTGATCAGGTTAAACTTGTGATTTCAGCATGACTGCCTTGATAGTCTTTGTGAACATGTACAATGGTCAAGACTGTGCGCGATAGCTGTGCTCGTTCCCGTGTCCCGAGGGGGAGAATCGGCGCTAACCAGCCAGGATGATCTGATGCAACCCTTGGATCTCAACTGATGCATCTTGCCGAGGGGAGAAACGTTGAGAACTTTATCCTAATCATTAAAAACACTTGGGTAAAATTAGTAGAATCTTGGACCAATTTAATCTGGCACCCTAATTTAATGTCAGAAGTTCTAATTCTGCCTGTGCTCGCTCTGCTCGCCAACCTCACCTCACCAATGCCAAGCGTATGCGGATTCAGAAGAGATTTACAATTGGCATGCCACCGAAGAGGTTGCCGCTTATTATCCTTAGGTTTGGAGTACAGCAATGGGCAACCAGACAACTCATATTCTCTCTCCTGGAAGGGCCGAATGCAACTCCAGCTCACCTATGGGGTAACACCACAGACAAGTCGAGCTGTCATCAATGATTTTAAAAATGGCATCAAAGTAAGCGACTTACCCGAGGTCTTTCTAAAATACGGTAGTGGGTAAAAGAAAAACAGTGGGCTGATTGGGGAGCGTGATACGGGTTTGCGGGGGATTTTTCCGTAAAAGTCGAGCGCCACCAGACAAACTCAACGGCAGCCGGGCCGCCGAATCATGCGGCTCCAAGAGTTTTCCCTCTATTCACTGGAGCTAACCCCAGAGAAGGGTCCAGCAGATCACACCACCTGGGGAAAATACCCGGGGAGAGCGGTCCTATTAGGCTGGGCGGGCAGTTTAGCCTATATTCGCGGGCCGGGGTACTGGGGTAAATTACAGGACCCGGTTAATAGGTTAATCTGTAACCTTGACCTGACAGGGTCTCCTCATATTTAAATGTCCAGCTTGGCGCCAAGTTGGTTTTTACTCTTTTTGCTATCACACTTGCATTTGTGGCTTTTTTTCCAGAATTCCCCAATTTCTGTATACAGATATCTCTTTTCAAAATGGTGGGTTTCGCTGTCGGTACAGCTACCAAGAAGCAGGACCTCGCCGTCGCGCAGGCCGAGGCTCCTCAGCTCGCAAAGGTCAAATGGTGGGCTGACCCTGGAATGCGCGTGCTGTACTTTTACGCCGCCATTCTGTGTGTCTGCTCTGCCACGACTGGTTACGATGGGTAAGAAGCCAAGCGATCGCCCAGAAACTTGGCGATGCGATCATGCTAACGCGGATACAGATCCATGTTGAACACGTCGCAGGCCATGGACGATTGGCAGGATTACTTTGGTCACCCCACGGGCTCCAAGCTCGGTATTCTCAACTCGATCTACCAGATTGGTAGCATTGCCAGTTTCCCTTTCGCGTACGTTGTTTCTATCTGCGGGGAAATAATTGGTGGAAACGAAACAGAATACTAACCCTTTTTGGTGTAGTCCATTTATGGCTGATCACTTTGGCCGAAAGATCCCTATTGCCACGGGATGTCTCATCATGATTCTCGGCGCTTTCATCTCAGCCTTCACCAACGGATTTGGCAGTATGTTGTTAACCGACTCACTTCTTTGAGCAGCGCTGATAAGTCGACAGTGTACCTTGGTGGTCGATTCCTCGTCGGTTTCGGAAACTCTTTGGCCCAGCTCTCTTGCCCCGTTCTCCTCACCGAGATCTGCCATCCTCAGCACCGTGCCATCGTCTCCGCCATCTACAACTGTCTGTGGAACTTGGGTGCCACTCGTAAGTCAATTCTTTTACGTTCACCTCGAACAACTGCTAATGGAAATCTCCAGTCTGTGCTTTCATCGGTCTCGGTACGATCAACATCAACAGCAACTGGTCATGGCGATCCATCACCCTCATCCAAGCCGTGCCATCCTTGATCCAAATCACCTTCATCTGGTGGATCCCCGAGTCTCCCCGTTGGCTCATGGCCCACGAGCGTCACGAGGAAGCTCTTGACATCCTTGCCAAGTATCACGCCAACGGCGACGCCAACAACGCGACCGTGCAGTTTGAGTACACCGAGATCAAGGAGACCATCGCCCTCGAATACCAGGCTCAGAAGAGCGGCAGCTACCTTGATTTCCTTCGAACCCGCGGTAACCGTTACCGTCTCATGCTCTTGGTTTCCCTTGGTATTATCTCGCAGTACTCTGGAAATGCTCTCATCAGCAACTATTCCAACATCATCTATGAGGGCGCTGGTATTAAGGATCAGGCCCAGAAGACCGGACTCAACGCAGGAGAAAACATGCTCAAGCTTTTTGTGGCTATTGGCTGCTCCATGGGAATTGATAAATTCGGTCGTCGGCCACTCTTCCTTACTGCCACTGTCGGTATGTAGAAGTCTTTCCCCACTAATTAGTTTCTCAGACTAACTTATCACTAGGTATGCTGTTGTTCTTCTTGGCCTGGACCATTGTTGCCGCCCGATTCGAGGCCGGTGGCGAGGTCGAGATCAAGCGTCTTGGATACCCCCAGATCGCCCTCATCTGGCTCTTCGACGTCTGCTACTCCATCGCCTGGTCCGGTCTGATCGTCGCCTACGCCCTGGAGATTTGCCCTTTCAGACTCCGTGCTCGTGGTCTCACTATCATGAACTTCTTCATCCAGGTTGCCCTCACCATTGGCAACCAGACCAACCCCATCGCTCTCGATAACCTTCCCAACAAGTGGAACTTCTGGTGCTTCTACACTGTAAGTGCCGCCTCTCTGACTTTATTGTAGTATTCAGAAGACTAATAGAGAAATAGGTTTGGATCGCTGTTGAGCTCGCCTTTGTCTTCTTCTTCTATGTCGAGACTAAGGGCCCTACTCTGGAGGAGATTGCTAGAATCTTCGATGGTGATGATGCTAATGTCGCACAAGTGGACCTCAAGGACACTGAGAAGCAGGCTGTCTTTGAGACTACGGAGCAGGTGCATCATGATGAGCGCAGGGACTTGTAGTTGTCTCTAAGTTGGCCAGGAACTTGATCATTAACGACGTCGATGACAGTCGGAAATACCTAATAGTTTGATCCCTTCTTGCTAGAAGTCCAAAAAATTATAGGACGCTTTTACAATCACAACATTTCTTGCTGAATCTCCGCTGCGAGCCTGATCCTTGATGCCACCCGGCAATGCTATAACTTTCATCGAAATTGTGAATCCATTTTAGCCCATCAATAGCCTTGCCTCATTTTCCTTGTCTTTCTTTTGTAACGAAGTAGTATATGTATCCCTTAAACAGCCGTTATTTTCTAAAGTACCTTCTCCAAGGCGGATATATGTACACCAATGTTATCCAGATGCCAACAAGCATAACACGGCCTATGTTGAGGCCGACTATGGCACCATCATTTTCCGATCTGTTGAGGAAATCATCCGCAGTAACCATCAGCACTAGACCTACAAGTAATAATATGGTCCCAATCCAAAAGCACAAAGCAATAACATGGACAACACAGATGGAATGCGTGCCCCTCCAGATAACACGTTGAAATGGTATTCTAAAGCGTACTATAGCGGCAATACATAGCAAAGTTAATAGCCACCAAGAAGGGTATACTATTCCCACAGTGCAGCCGCTGTGCCAGTCATCAGTATATGATTCGTATGCAATAATAACACTTACCTGTTACACACGCGATTGGACCTCTGTAGAAGTACCAGGTAGATCGTATTGAGAACAAGTCCAATTGTGGAAAAGCCAAGTACTATTTCCCACTGCATATAGCCAACGAAGTAATGGAGAAAGAGTTTTTGGTATTCCCTCGGGATCCGGAGGCCATCACGAAGGAGAATGGGAGCAAGATGTATATTCCCCGGAGAATTCAGTTGGCCGTGACTCAGGGCAGTACTTGGAGTAGTAGTTGCATTTCCTGGAGACTGAACAGCCGCCTGGGTAGTAGGGCGCCCAAAGCTCAATCTACGGTTCTGCTGCTTTTCGAACATTGCGGCTACCGGCCCATTCCATTCTTTTCGATCTTCCTCAAGGCACTGTAGACTCTCAGAAGAAACCTGTCGATGGCAAACAGTGATAGAGTCCGGATACCTCCAGGATGTTGGGAAAACTCGTAGGACGAGGAGCTTGGCCCAGCGGATGAAGGCATCTATGGCTGAGAGGACGACGAACGCCAACACACATGTGACAACTGGGTCTATCTCTTGTTTCTTTGGATTTTTACTAATGTAGTCACCTCTTGGAGGAGGAGGGGGAGGGGGAGGCGGTGGAAGGTCTGGAGGGAGGGGCGTGCTCGGTTCCAATGGTTGTCTGCCCAGCTCCTCCCACCTATCAAGCAAGCCTCGGATTCGTGGTGAACTGAGCCAGTCGTGTACTAGCGCCGCGAATATGACTTGGCAAGCAATGGCGATTGCTAAGTGCACAGCAGGCACGAGTGCATGAGCTAGTATAACGAATCTTGACGTCCACCCGTTAGCCCAGACGGGATTGTGTCTGTATCTTGCCAAGATCCAGGATGGAAACCAGTCGACTAGGCTCAGAGCCATGTAGACATATAGCAGAGACTCAACAGCGTGTGCTTGACCATCAAACTGAGCGAGGCCATAGTCAACATAGTGCTCGTCGGATACAGGCTGAGGATATGCGAAGATCCCTGGGCCATTTGAGTCTCTGTGTTGGAATGCATAATTGTACTTAGCACGCCTTCTGCCAATAGCGGTAATAGCAAAGGTGAATCGTAACATGCTTATGATCAACAGAGGGTAACCGGTAGCGCGCATCAGTAGTACCTCGCGCCAAGGGTTGACATGAAGCTGAAACTTGTCTTGGGCCATATTTTGAGTACGCGTGATATTGCTTCCTTGTTTGATCTTTTAAAGTCTTTTCATTCTTTCCAAATGCTGACGACGCGAGGAGAAAAATGCCTTGTAAGCCATTGATGACATTTGCACTTTCATTTCAGCCGCACGCACTCATGCCTCAGGCATTGTAGCACAATGTCAGCATTCCCCGCTTGCTATTCCTCTGTGATAAATTTATTATTCTTAAAGTCTATTCTTATCTAAGACCAATATGGCAGCTTCTGCTATTCTTTGCCCATCGTGTCAAGGATTCGATATCCAGGCATTTGCTAGGCCTGGAAGCCCTTGGATAACGACGAAAACGGCCCTCGTCAGACAAGGGAGTCAGCAAGGTTGTCACTTTTGCCAATTTCTCGTCGGAGGAAACGACAAGAATTTCTTTCGTGAAAATAGTTTGTTGAAGCGTGGATTCGAATGGCTCCACTGGGCCTCAGCAAGCCCCGTTGATATACCCAGCGATAGCAGCTTAGCAGTACAGAGCGACCGCGGACTTCGAATTTCCCTACTGCTTGTTAAGCTTTCCAAAGACCCGAAGCCTTCTTTATACTCTAGAGGCGATGGCTACAATGTGTTAAATCTGCATGCTGATCAAGGTAAGCAAAGCCCCATTGAACAACGCTATACTGCAACTAGTCATTTACTCGACCTTAGGCAGTCCAGCAGCGACGAGCGGAGATATAATCGGACTGCCTCCAGTCGACAGAGACCCTTCATCTAAATCGTCATGCGATAGGATACGGCAATGGCTTGATTCCTGCGAAAGTCACCAAGAGTGTGCAAAGACCCTGTCCATGACTCGAACTGTGGAAAGAGGTCGCGCTCCACTGCCAACAAGATGTATTCGTATCGATAAATCAACGTCCGTGCCCAACAGACTTAACTACAGGTTAGAAGAGACTGGAGGTAGGTTGGGCGAGTACGTATCTCTCAGTCACCGCTGGAGCAACCCAGAGACGCCGCGATCAAGTACATACCTCCGGAACTATCATGATCGGGTGGCAGGTCTACAGTCAGCATTCCAAGATATTGACCCGCTATTCACGGATGTCCTCTTAGTTGCCTCTCAGGTGGGTATACAGTACGTTTGGATCGACAGCCTTTGCATTATACAAGACAGTCCTCAGGATTGGAACTCCGAGGCCGTCAAGATGGCAGACTACTACCAAAATGCTTCCTTCACTATCATGGCCGCCGTTCCCCCAAGTAAACGATCACAAGGTCTTTTTCATGTACCGGGGGGGGATTTGTATCGCCTCGCTCGACTTCCTTACCGAGACAAAGAGGGGAATAGAAAAGGTCATTTCTATGTATCATGTCATCTTGACCCTGCACGGGAGACACAGCGACACAATCAGATACAGAAGAATGATTTACTGACTCGGGGATGGGTGTTCCAGGAGTGGGCTCTGAGTCGCCGAATTGCCTGGTATACAGAACATGGCCTAACACTGCGATGTAAGTGTCGCGATCTTCAGCATCAAGGGGAGAGCCTTCTCAACCTAGATCCGAGCCCAAGTCTGCACCGAATCCTTCCACTACTTGGTCTTGTAGTTCCCAAGCATCGCTGGGACCGTTACAAAGCATCGGCTCCCCCCTTTCAGTCGCCCCTCGACTGGCAAGCCTTGGTATCACAATATTCGACGATGCAGCTGACCAAACCTGAAGAAGATCGTCTTGTGGCCCTCAGCGGTGTTGCACAGGAATTCACTACTCAAGAATCGTCTACTAAGCTGGTCTGTGGGCTCAGGCCGTGGTGCTTAGGGGTTGACTTACTCTGGAAACAAGATACAGCGGGTATACACTCCCGTTATATGGAGTTCCCCTCTTGGTCATGGGCCTCGGTCAATACCTCAGTCTCTTGGATCAGGACGGATGATGCGACAGACTGCTTCAGCGTTCTTTCTGTTTCGTCTACTCCAGGTGGTCGTGCTGGATCACCCGCTGGGACTGGCGGAAATACCACGTCATCCACTAGCGCACCATCTGGTACTGCCATTCAGGCAATAGCGACTCTTCCATTTGCTCCGGAGGCCTCTATGAACACTCTAAGCATTAGATGTCGTCTTTTGACGGTTTTGTTTGGTCCCGTCCTGGAGGAAAAGTCCAGAGATTTTATTCTGAGAGCCAGTCGATACCCAACGGAAGAACTGTCGTTGAACAGCCAACCACGAGGTGTAGCTCTGGCCACAGAGAATGAAACTGTCGCAGGATGGGGTTCTCTGGAAGATCCTGATCTTCAACTCGATGACGCCTTTGCTAGGAACCCCATCATATTCGCTCTTTGTATCTCGGTCCTGACGGTTCCGCGAGGCTCTGGGTTGTTTAGTAGAATTTGGGGTGGCGAAAGTATCTTTAATGTTTTGTTCGTTCGCCCCTGCTCGGCAGTCATGAATGGGTTTGAAAGAGTCGGAGTCGGTCGCCTTTTTGGGATAGCTACAGGTAACGAGTTTCAGGCCAGTCAAGAGAGAGACATTTGCCTCTTGTAGGAGATACGCATCTATAGTGCGATAGAGATATAAAATTTTCACCAAATGACTTAATCAATAATTGCGCTGATCAGAGATCGATCGAGAGTCCCATCTTAACCATATCGCAGCCAATGCTCACCCAGATATGACCAGTTAGGTTGTTGCCAATCTTGCTGCAGGCTGACTAACGCCACTACCAATCACATAATTGATAAGGTTGAGGCCTCATATGCAGGTTTCAGCTGCCAAGCACTTTTCTGCCTATTCACTAATTTCAACCTTCCCCGCACCCAAGCTTACCAGGTCAATTTTACCTTCCTCTATTCTTCACTAATCTTGGAATTGATATTGAACTATTACGTTGCACCATGAAGCACCTTTCTAGGCTGAAGAAGAAATTGCGGTCCTCAGACTCGGCCAATGAATGCTCGCCTCAGCCAACATCTGTACCCGCAGCAGCTTCAACCAGCCAGATCACGACTCCATCAAGCCATCAGGCCAGTGGATCTTCTCTGACAGTACCGATCATGGGTTCTTCGCCTATCTCATCACCATCCAATGCGGCGCCCGAGCCACAGATTGTCTCATCGCCTCCAGAGGAACCGGAGAATAATACTCCGAGCATACCTGAGCGACTGTGGAGCAAAGCCTACAACATCCTCGAGGAGAAAGAACCAGACGTCGTCAAAGGGTACCAGGAGATCCTGGAGCGAGTGCAGAATGAGTGGGCCGATGCAGCGGCTCCCGAGGAGCTCCAGAACCTGGAGCACTGCAAAAGCGTCAAATCACGTCAGATGTGGAGATTGGTCTATTCCGGGCTTGAGAGGTCTAAGAAGCAAGCCAAAATCAAGGAGAGTGTATCAAATATCATGGAAACCATTGACAATCTCAAAGGAGTGGTGGATAAGGCTGTAAAATACTCCTCTGAAGCCTCAATTGGGTGGGCGGGGGTCAGCCTTGGCTTAGAGGTATGTTGGATGCATAGTCTGGGATTACTCTTGAAGAATAGCTGACATGACCTCAGATCCTATCAAATCCCATGAAGGAACCAGGACTGAATCGAAAAGGCATAGCATATGTCCTATCGCGAATGGAGTGGTATTGGAACTTGGCTGAGTTAGTCCTCCAGGATATCTCCAGCGTTTCATCTGCCGCGTTGAGAACCAACTTGGAAACTCAGATCATAGAGTTCTACAAGAAGCTTCTCGTGTTCCAGATGCGAAGTGCTTGTCTGTATTACCGCAACTGGGCAGGTGTTATCCTCAGGGATGTAGTCAAGCTTGATGATTGGGCCGGGGAGCTCAACAGCATCAAAGATGCAGAACGTCAAATTCGCAAGGACATAGAACAGTACGATAACCAAGATATCCGCTTGAAGCTCGGTACGATCGAAACATCCGCATTAGTACAAGCTGAGTCGCTCGAGTCCATCTACCTGATCCTCAGAGAGGAGGCACGATTGAAAGAAAAGAGTAAGCAAGATGAAAGAGACAAGGATTGTCTTGCCGCCTTATTGGTCACGGACCCTCGCATGGACAAGAAAAGAATCCAAAGTCAAAAGGGGGACCCACTGAAAGAATCGTATGAATGGATCCTGAGGAGCGACGCCTACAACAAATTCCTCGATGATCCGTCAAGTCGAGTTCTGTGGATCAACGGACCGCCTGGAAAGGGCAAAACAATGCTACTTTGTGGGATCATCGATGAGCTTGAAATGAGTCTAAGGCCTATCTCCTTCTTCCTATGTCAAGCAAACGTCAAAGAGGAGGACTTGTCCAGCGACGTTGCCGTTATAAGAGGTTTGATCTATGTTCTTCTCGAGCATCAGCCGTCTCTGATATCAGAGCTTCGTCGGAGCTACGATAAGCAAAAGAACAGACTCTTCAACAGTATCAACAGCAGTGAGCTTCTGAGGGACATTTTGACCACTATGCTTCAAGACCCGAGTCTACATGACGCAATATTGCTCGTGGACGCTCTGGACGAGTGCACAATCAACAGAACAAAACTCACCAATCTCATCGTGGAGCTGTCTGAGTCATGTAAGACCAAGTGGATCGTCTCGAGTCGCAACTGGCCTGAGATCAGTCAAGAACTTGCAGATGCAGCAGGGCTGATCTCGCTTGATCTTGAACAAGAGCATGAATCGATCTCTCAGGCTGTCAAGTTATATATCAGCAAGAAGGTTGATGATCTGGCAAAGAGGAAGTGGAAGAATGACCTGGGGCTGAAAGGAAAAGTCTTCAATTATATGCAGTCTCATGCCGATGATACATTTCTTTGGGTAGCCTTGGTTTGCGACAGATTGGACAACTCTGGGATCAGCAAACGCCTGGTCATAGAGGAGCTACACAAGTTTCCGACGAGCCTTACAGCCCTTTATCAGGCCATGATGAACCGAATAACGAATTCTCCCGAAGCTGATCGGCTGAAGCAGATCCTGGCTCTAGTTTGTGTTGCTTACCGCCCGATAACATCAGACGAGATACCGGCACTCGTCGAGCCCATGGCTGCCTACGATGAAGACGATGTGAAAGACGCCATAGCCTCTTGCGGCTCCTTCTTGACACTCCAGGATAAAGATATATTCTTCGTGCACCAATCCGCCAAGGAGTTCCTTCAGAGCCAAGCTCGTACCACGATATTCCGTCGTAGCGAGGCACACCAGCATGCGCACATATTTTCAAGATGCCTTGAGGCCATGGAAAACACCCTGAGATATGATATATATGACCTCGGTTCTCCAGGTGCTCTCAGCCCGGTTGACGTCCCAAATCCCGATCCATTACGTGCTATCAAATACTCATGCGTATATTGGGCGCAACACTTGTCCAAGTCGGAATTCCTACAGGACCCAGAGTCCTTTAGCCCCACAAGATTGCTAAGATTCTTTCAGTCGAAGTTCACAAATTGGTTGGAGGCACTAAGTCTCATGAACGAATTGTCTACAGCAATTGCAAGTATGCGCCTGCTGGAAATCACATTCGTAAGCTCTACTCTTCCTCCATTAGTATGCGCATAGACAATTAACTCATGTATAGGCCGGCTATCAAGTGCAGGATCTCGCCGATTTCATTCATGACGCTCATCGATTTATCCGCCATCACAAACGAGCTATCGAAATAGCTCCTCTTCAGGTATACTGCGCTGGGCTCATCTTTAGCCCCAAGAGCAGTGTAATCTGTCAACAATTCTCTTACCAGATGCCTGAATGGATGGTTGTCAAGCCAGAGATGGATGACCATTTGGATCATCACACCCAGACGATCTATACTCATCCTGATGCATTTCACGCCAGTCACTCTCCTGATGGCTGCTACCTAGCTGTTTCGCATATGTCGGATTTTGATCTCTATAGGACAGCCTCAGGTGATTTAGTTCATCGAGAGGAGAGCCCCGTGCCAACTATTTCTAACGTAGCATTTTCTCGAGATGGGCTATTTCTATGCTGTAGCAGCTCTGAAGCCATCTTTATCCTTTGTGTAAACACGTTGAAGGTGATACAGAAGCTGGAACACAAGGCATACCAATGCTTCTTCTTGTCAGAGGGTAACAATATTGCATTCATGTATGAACAAGATGTTACCGTCTTGAACTGGAAGACTGGAGAGGTTCTCTCTAGTCTGGACTTAATCATCAGAGAATCCAGCAACATAGCCTCATTGACCGAAACTCAGATCGTCGGGATCTACTCATTTGAAACGATCAAGATCTGGGATTTATTCACAGGCGATTGCAAGCATAGTTTCACTTGGGCCGATGAAGAGATTGATCCTGTTGCCTGCTCATCAGATGGGCGTTGGATTGCAGCAGCGTCAGAGTCTCATATTCGACTCTGGCACTTGGATGATACGCTAGGCTGGGTTCACAAACAGGACTTGAACGACGAGCATTCCGTGGGTTGTCTCGCATTCTCAGAAAATAGCCGTATGCTCATCTCAGGCTTGCATGACATCAAGGTCTGGGATGAGACGGGGGCCTGTGTTAAAGTACTCAAAGGACACTCTCAGCCAATTCAATTTTTATCAGTATGTGGAAATCAGTTGGCATCTGGAAGCGGGGATGAAACTGTTAAGCTTTGGGACTTGTCTGATATTGCTTCGGACCAATCTAAGCAGAAAGGGCGATCCCCGGTTCAGACAAGTGATTACTCACCCCGAACATCTCTGCAAAATTCTTACCATGACAAAGATCTTTGGATTGAGAGCCTCCTATTTTCCCCTACTGGCAGTATGTTAGTATCGGCATCATATAAAGCAACGCAAATCTGGGATACAGCGACAGATACCTGCACAGACATCCTTCTTCACGGTGGGTCATCGGGCCTTATGGAGGTAAGCTTCACATGTGATGATAAACTAATGGCAATGAAGGACGTGAATGGCAAGCCCAGGATTTGGGACACGGGAGTCATGAAACAGGTTTATTTTGAGGATCTGGAATATTCGAAGTCTGTGACCATATCCGACGATGGACGTTATATGCTATTGTCATTTTTTGGTCTCGACAATGACAGAGAAACTGTGCTGAAAATCAAGGACTTGATCAAAGATGCTCAAACAGAACAGCATGTTGCATCCGAGGTTCTGCCTTTCAAAATAGCTGGGGATGTCAGACGCTTTTTTAATTCCGAAGATGGGAAAGTATTGGCAATTGCCAATGATGACGGGCTATATATCCTGCGTTGTAAATTGGGACACTGGGTCAAGGAACAAGTTCCATATCATTGGGGGGAAATTGCTTGGGCATTCTCGCCAGATAATACGTGGCTTTTGACACAGCAAGTATCCCGGAGCATCTGGGCTATCAGGGAAGTGACTTCCCACTACGGTAAGAAAGAACTTGAATCTCTTAGAGCCAATGCTACAGCGTGCGATACCCCGCTACTCGAGGAGCCCTGGTGGAGGGTAGCCACGCGATATGGTTTACTGGCAATTGGTGAACCTAGAGATTTCAAGGGCACTGCGCGGATTGGATGGGGTTTGTCCCTCGAAATGGATTGGATTATGCGGGGGAATGAACGAATGCTTTGGATACCTGCTGACTATCGCCGGATGGCGTTGGATATCAACAATTCGCGAGTCGCTTTTGTTTGCCTTTCCGGCGAGATAAAAATCATGAGGTTCCGATAGGAAACTACGGGAACAAGATCACATCATGGTACCGAGGCGGTTCTTTAGCTGTAGATCCGGTTTCTTGATCGAAACGACTCTTTTTGCAATTATGACTATTAGATGCGAGAGTTAAATATTTCTCAGCAGTCCTCATTGCCGCCCACGAGCTTGAATCGAGATATGTAATGCTTCAATTATGGTTGGCTGGCAGTATGTTTTATGTGAGAATTATTTCGGTGCAGATTTCCACCTTTGGACATTCATAGAATATGGTGAAGAATTTATCTTGAACTCTCCTGCACAATCTCTATAGACAGAAGGCCCTCGGCGCTTTCATTACCATCATAGTCTAGGATCTCTAGAAGTACTTGGTTGCTAATGCAGCAGTGTCCATGTCGTGATGAAAAGACCAGCAATTTGATATTTCCAGCAGTATGACTCATTCAAAAGAAATCCGAGTCAAAGGCTTACAGGATATGGCTACTGTCTTGAAAGCAATGTTGCGTGACATCTGGCTTTCCTCCGGGTAGCATCATACGAAACGGCCAGCCTTGGGAATGGTATATATCTGCCGCTATCCTCTGAAGCCAAGCGGTAGGCACAACAGGAATCCAGAATTCGCATTTCTCACACGCCAATATCTTCATTCCTGTTGTCCATGAGCGATGAGCCTCGCTTTTCTCGCCGATCGAGAGTTGTGCGTGGGCCAAGGACAAGTGGCACACAGCGGCTATGAACCCATGAGACGAACCGAGCGCATGCATATGGCTAACCTGTTCAAGCGCAAGTGTCCAGCGTAGCATAGTTTCACCTGGGTCCATCCTCATATGGGCTATTCGAGCTGATGCCAGTAGTGTTCTTATGTAGAGCTGTTGGTCGTTGATGTCATCTGGACAGGGATGCAGATCACTCAGTGACTCCTGGAGTGCTGCCTCTGCGGCATCTAATTGTTTCAGCCCGATCCTAGCCTCTATTAGTGCCAGAATTAGCCTTCGAAATCCACGTCGGATGCGGTCACTAGGATCGATATGCTCAAGTTCAGGTTCCAGTATCCCCATAGCTTTGACGTACTCTCCCATCTCGCAGTACACATCAGATAGTCTCCCAAGCAAGACTCGGCGTGAGTTTGTGGGTATAGGTTTTATTCGACCCAGTGACAGAAACTGCTCCAAAGATGCCCTAGCTGCGTCAAAATCGCCTATATACTGGAAATATCGAGCGGCTGTGCTCTGGAGCCGAAAGGTTACCTCCATGTCCAGGGTTGATAACGGCTGCTGAGCCCTCCATTTGTAGGCAAAAGACGGCACATCAGTATCGTAGCACCTAATCTTGTTCTCCATCTGGGAAATGTGTAGGCGGCCCTCGAGTGCATGGTCACGACGGGTATTCGGGCGTGGCCCTCGCCATAGAAAGTCGCGTATGTGCGCTTCCGACTTGGCAAGGTCTCCATCAACTCTATCGAGTATGCCGCGGAATAGCACAACCGAGGCGTGGAGATAGTATGGCATTGACTTTCGTAAAAGCAGTTTGGCCTGCTTAACTGCAGCATGGCGGATGGCAAGTGAGTCTCTTTCGCAGAAATACAGGACGGCTTCAATAACATGGGTCCTGAGGGAAGCTGATATCCTGCATGTTTTGAGAAGCCTTTCTAGTATCGGCCACACTTGTTCTTTCAATAATGGCGACCTGAGACACCGATGTCAGTGGTGCTGTAGCAGGCCGGGGATATGTCCTACCAGTCGGTGTTCCCCTCATAGCATAGGGGGCAAACAAAACAAATGAGCTTCAGCGCTGTCGTCTCGAGCATTTCGATCGTTTGTGGCGTTAAGACTTCCTCGAGACTCGACATTCGCTCGGGACTGAGGGACCAAGCTTCGGTATTGTCTGTTTGGATTCTATCGACGACATACGGGCCTGCTATGGCCTCGGAGAGCTTTGCTTCATCGCATAAAAGATCTACAAGGTTTTCAGGTAGGCCAAATTTAAGCGCACTGGTTTGATCTACCTCTCCGTCGGCGTTCCAACGTCGTTGTGGAAAGCGAATACTCTTTAACAACACAGCCGGTATGTCGATGCCGCCAAGTGCGTACATTACAAGCGTTAGCTGATCTTGAGCAGGAACAAATAAAGCGAACTCGCTAAACAGATTGTGATATCGTACTCGCGAAGGAGGGTCTGTAGGCCAACTCAATATCACAACACTCGCGTCACGTTTGAGATCACTAACCGCATAGCTGGCTGAGGATGAGGCGCTGTACAAGCTCATTGTACTTCTCAAATGTTGGATTTAGGGATGATAAATGGGTGAAGACTTCTTCATCATCAACACTCAGATACCTCTCATAACTACATAGAATCAGCACACCCGTGCATTGTAAACCTATTGAAATCACATACGTTGAAGCAGGGACGTCGAGTGGAAGCCAGAAGATTGCCCCTTCGCCGCCTATTCTCTGGGCTATCTGAACATACTTCCTCCCAGGGTTTCTCAGATCTGCGAAACTCCGCAATCCAGGAAATATCTTAGCCACTTGAGGAGGCGCCAGTATCTGCATGTCTAATTTAGATCGAAGAAATATCGCAACGCAGGCAAGTCGGCGCCGAAGTTCAAGATGAACACGATCATCCGAGTCTGCCCAGAAACCAATCACATCGTTCTCGAACCTTGAAAATACCCGATCGACAGGGGCGAGGTCAACCTTGTCTACAAAGAGGGCCTTGCCGGTTCGTTGGTTTCGTGGTGTAATCTGATACTGCACCTGACGACTGAGCGAACTCGCCTGCGCTAAGAATTGTCGCAGATCTTCTAGATGGCGATTTAGCGCAGGGATGAGATCTTTGGCTTGGGCCTCGTTGTAGGCTTTTGATAAGGTATGGATTGTGTTACAAAGACAGCCGTCCATGATATAGCGTCGCGTACCCAGCGTCTTGTATCAAGGGTCGAATGCAGAGATAGTTGAGTCTCGATCTGCAAACTCTGAAGTGGACTGTCGAGCCATGCGCGTTTTTCGGGTCTGTTCGCTGAGCAGTACAAGACTGTACGCGTATTCGCTGTGTACATTCCAGATGAACCAATTATCAATCTACCCTGACATGATCTTATCTGATCTTGTGGATCCGTAAGCCACCATGCTTGTGAAAAATCGGCTCATGCAAATATCCCAGCTAGTTGATGCCCACTCCACTAAACGACAGAGCAAACAAGTGTTTGTCGAGCAGGGATGAGGAAACAGACTCTTTCTTCACAGTGAATAATTCGCCACGACGAGAATCCCTGCTGTGCCCCATAATGACCACAACAGCCTATCAGGTTTGTCATCGAAACAACGAGCCTAGCTATGTTAGGACCGAAGCCGACGGAAAACCGACGGAGATTGATAACAACCAAGCTAACGGATCCAGCGCGAGCTAAAAATTAAGAACGCTCATGACACCCTCTTCGCTAAGATCTTGTCCAGTCAGAGGTCGCAGCGACATCGGGAATGTTCGTAGCTTGACGACCACGCAGCGTGACTGGGATCATGTGGCGGGGCTCACGCGTAATGCCCGCTTGACCTACCGACGACAGCCAGGTTAGACTTATCGATCGAAATTTGACGCAATCTTATCAATCAGGACGAGATCTGTCATTCTCCTTCCATCATACCACGGCCGCTTGTCGAAAATGGAGGGAATCAAACCACCAAGTACCAAGCAGGACAAGAATGAAGAGGCACTGACCAAGTATGCCGCTTTTCTGTGTGGTCTCATACTTTTAGTTATCGCCATTCGTTGGCTGCGCAATATTCACATTACATCTCCGCATCTGAAAACATCCGCGTCATTACCGACTTACGGGCGTGAAGCCTGTTTCTTGGTGTTCCAGTATGTAAAAGAGTCCGGATATTCTGACGGCATTATACTCATATTTTATAGAACTCTCGAAAGACGTCTACCGGCGTCGTGGCTCGGCCGACCTTCCTTGGGGTTCATCTTGATGATCAGCGTCTACCTTATTGGCAATATCGCTTTCTGCTCAAATATGCTTGCGATGCCCCAGCTATTGAATCATTGGGCCTCTCGATTTGGATGGTACGATGCACCACTGCCCTACGACATTCCAAGCGTAATTGACCAATTCCAGGATGTGCGCTGGTAACATGGGGCTATGTGTCTTTTTTGGCCTCAAGAACACGCCTCTGGGCCTCTTTGCCTCAGTTTCGCACAGCCAACTGAATATCCTACATCGCGTTGTGGGCTATACCACTGCATTCCTTCTCGCACTTCACGCTCTTGTATACACCATACATTTTGGTCGTCAAGGTCGTTTGGTACAGTTGTTGAAGAAGGAGGATCTTGAGGGCATGGGAGCCGGCATTGCCATGCTTGTACTACTAATGGGGGTGTTTAGACACAAGCACTACGAACTGTTCTATGCCAGCCACGTTATCGGCTTCGTGGCGGTCGTTCTCTTGACAGCGCTGCATAGGCCAAACTGGGCGAAGAAGATCCCGACGGTGATGCTCATCATATTCAGCGTGTGGACAATGGACCGACTCATACGGCTGAGCAAGTTGCTTCGTAACCTCGTTAACAACTCAGCGACAGTTTATCCTCTTCCATACAATGGAACACGAATAGTGCTCAAGAAGCCTGGAATGGAAAACGCCTTACCTGGATCGCACTGCTTTTTGTGGATTCCGGGACTTCGCTTGTTTGAGACTCATCCATTTACTATCGTTAGCAATGGCTCTTCTGGTCTGGAGCTGGTCATGAAATCCCATGAGGGCTTCACCAAAGCTGTCGGCAGCTTCGCAAGCCGGAATCCCAGGACTTCTCTGTGGGCATCCATTGATGGGCCATATGGCTCACTACCAGACGTGAACAACTACGATAAACTGATCCTCATCGCTGGTGGCAGTGGAGCTGCTTTTACCTTTGGCGTCATGAACCGTATCTTGATGCAGCGTGAAAAGCTTGCGATCCTATCTATCGAGTTTGTATGGGCAGTGAGGCGTATAGGTATGTTCAGATCAAGCCATGACTCCCTGACAATCCTTTCTGATGGTTGGCGTCTTCTAGAGCAGCTGAGCTGGTTTCGCCGACATTTGCGTAATACTTCGGAGTCTGCATACCCCATAAGCCTTGAGGTTTACGTGACGGGCGAACGGTCTGCATGTGGCTCAGTACATGACGACACCGACACTCAAGGATCTCTATGCGGAGCAGAAATGGAGGTTCTTCTAAGAGAGGATACGTTTCATTACGAAACTCTCTCTGGGATGGGTAATGTATGCGGGTTGACTGATCACATAACCGGCGATGAGCCGAAATGCAACCCGTTGTTTGAGAAGCTAGACGTTGATAGAACAGTTGGCAATGGCGTGGGAGCATCTGGAAGTCATGAGCGAGTTCTCCTCTTGTCTTGCGGGCCCAAGACCCTCATGGATGCCGTGCAAGATTCAGCAAGTAAATGGCAGAAAAAACGAAATATTAGAATAGATGTCCACTGTGAGGACTTTGGTGGTTGATGGAGTAATACTGCGTAGAATCCTATCTGAACGTGGATTCTGTTCCCTTTCCCAGTTGACATTGATTCGATCTGGCAATAAGTATGCCTGATTGACTATAATGCCTAGCCAGCAGGAACTTCAGCGCTGTCAACTCATATTCAATAAATTTATCCATCTTTACATCTATAGTTAGGCCTTTGATATATTCTCTATGAGATATACTGCTTGATTTTGCTATTATATTATAACTATACCTAGGGTAGGCAGTTAACTACTGAGAGATATTTAATGTTCATTTGCATCTATAAGTGCATATCTATCAGCCAATGTCTTTGAAAAAGCAAGCATTCATCTGAGTAACAGAAGAATTAACTCTGCAATACTCATGCCGAACTCGGAGTCTACAGCTCTAGTAATTCTCAGGCCTAGCAAGATCCGAAGACAATGAAACGTCATCCTAGTGGAAAAACGGTCTCAAAAGTGGCTCCATGGGTGGACGGGATTTTCCGAACCTGATTCTCTCACTGTGAGAAGACTTTCAATGTAACCTCACTAATCCTTTCTGGTTTTTAGGGTCTTCACTCGACATCTTATCAATCTGATTACTACGGTCACCCTGACTTTTGTGGTTAGTTCGAGACTAACATATAACTAATAACGATAAACCTTTTTTCCAGACCAACTTAAATATGTAAAACATCCTCCGTCCTTTGCCCTTGGTCCAATCGAACCTCAGCTCTATCTCTGCCTCTCATACATTGAGTACAGTTCCTTCAATCCTTACCCTCATGGCTCAACCTCAGATGTCAGAGAGCTTCCCGAACGAAGAGAAGCTCGTACCGCTTGACGTGTCCGTCAAGGAAAATCACGCCCAATCTGAGTCGCAGATCACCCAACCGGAAAATGACGGTCGCCAGCCAGTCCCACTATCTTGGAAGCTCGCCTCCATCGTCCTCGTCACTGCAATTGGCTTCGGGTCGCAATGGAGCTCTGGTGTGACATCTGCCATGAAGAGTACCATCAAGAAAGAACTGCACATCAACAACACCCAATTCTCCCTCTTGGAGGCTAGCGAGGATTTCATGGTCACTGCTCTAATGCTTGTTAGTGGTATAGTGACTGACAGAATTGGTGGAGCCGGTAGGTCAGAATCGAATAATGGGAGGGCTTATCGCTGATCAGAATTAAGGCGCGATGCTGTATGGCAATCTTATCTATTCGGTCGGATCGGTCTTGGTAGCTGGAGCGGCCCAGACCCGATCATACAAGTTCATGATGGCTGGCCGGGTCGTGCGCGCTCTTGGTGATATCGCCACCCAAGTCGCCCAGTACAAAGTCTTCTCATCGTGGTTCGCTCCCGGCAACGGATTCGCCTCAACCCTAGGCTTCGAATTAGGTATTGGTAAGATCGGAGCTTTTGCCGGCAAGTCTTCAGCCAACATCATCTCCAAGAGACTCGGTTTCGCGTGGGTTTTCTGGATTGCGGTATTTATGAACATCTTCACCAATGTCATGACGGGTGTCTTCTACTTCTTCACCAAGGTTGCCAATCGTCGCTATCATGGTATCAACGATCCAGCTACGGGTGAGAAGCTTACTGAAAAGACGCGCAAGTTCGAATATCGCAAGGTTCTGGAACTACCGTGGACATTCTGGGCTGTCATGGGCTTTTCGCTGTTCGAAACGAGCGCTGCCATCGTTTTCCTGCAGAATGCGACAGAACTTGCTGAACAGAGATTCGGCACGGATTCTATTGCAGCTGGATGGTATAGCTCCGTTTTGCAATACTCAGGTATGCTGTCTTGTTAACATTCATCTCACCGAATTAGCTCTGACCGTTCGTTCAGGTTTCTTTGTTGTTCCTTTACTGGGAGTATTCCTCGATCTTTATGGAAGCCGCATTTCCGTCTGTAAGTAGTTGATCATTTCGCACGCCAGGGAAAAATTGCTGACTTTACGTAGTGGTCTTTTGCGGCATTGGCATGTTTATCTCGATGCTTCTGGTTTGCTTCTCTGGGGCCGTCAAAGGAACAGCCGCATCATTCGGCGTCTTTGCTTTCGCTTACTGCTTCGGTCCTACTACGATTATTGATAGCACACGTACATCCATGTGGGACAGCACCGTCTTTGGCTCTGCTTACGCCATTAAAATCACAATGAACAATGCGTAAGGGCACTCACATCATACCTTTTCCCTTCGCATTATTAACACTTATTCTAGGATGAATATCATTGTCAGAATCATCACCGGAAAGATTCAAGACGCCGATAACAACTCATACGACAAGGTGACGATCGTCTACGTCGTCCTCGCTGGACTATCCGTCGTAGTATCGATACTGCTCGCCATCGGGGCATGGAAGTCTGTGGACCTTGGACACCTCCAATGGTCACGAAAGAAGAGAATTGCACAAGGCTCCTTGCTCAATGAAAGAAAGGAAATCTTCACCAAGGAAAACGGAGAGAAAAATAGGCGCGTATCGTTGGCTTGCTTCGCTACACTGATCTTGTTAATCATTGGTAGCTGGTGCGGTTACTTCTGGGGAGTTGCCACTGGAAACAATGATTAGGATGGCTGCAGCTCAGAGTTTTGAGGTTGCCAGTGTCTCTAGTATTGTTAGTTTTGATTATAGCTGTTTGAAGAGGGATTGTAAGTTGTCGGCAGTTCAAATGACGAGGTAGGATCAAGCAGACAGGATTGCCGGATTATAGGACCATTGCTTCCAAATAGATCATTTATCTTCGACGTTAATCCAGTCAGCTATATAATTTAAGAAGTAGAAATGCTACAGACTATCCAAATGACCGAATCAGTCGCAGCCTTGAAAGTGAAGTAATTACTATCCCCTGTAACGAGAGTTCTCAAGTAGACGTGAAAGTCATGTTGTGCACATGTTCATTTGCATATGCCGGAATGAAATCCGTAGTCAAATACCAACCTGGCTTCTGCATGTTATCCGAGATGACCTTCCCATTGATAACCAGGTTTTCGAATGTAACGTTGCTGATCGTCCTGTCCTCATCATAACCAACAAAGATGGACATGCTGGCCTTTGTCCCAGTGTACTTCAAGTCACGCACCAACACATCCTTGATTCCGCGACCCGGTGAAGTGTTGTACTTGGTATTGTACATGACGCGGAAATTGAGCAGTTGGCCAACACGAATGTCTTCGACGCGCACGTCATCAATCAAGACGTCTTGGATCAGATTACCGTCTCCAGGATTGAGTGCGATGGTCCCTTGGTAATCAACCTGTCCCTCTCTTTGGTCAAGGATGTCGATATTGCTAATAGTCAGGCCTGCGATGGTTTCGGGGTCTTGAGTATTGCCATGGGTTCCAATGTTAATAGGATGCGCAACATCCGCCCACAGAATTGAATTTTGGATGGTGATGTTGGTCGAGTTTCCGTACCATTCATCTCGGTGAGCGTAGACTGCGATACAGTCGTCTGAGTTGCGCAAGAAGACGGAATCGATAAGAATGTTCTCGCAGCAATAGACATCCATTCCATCTCCCCACTGTACGGCGCTGAAATCGCGCCAATGACTGAATGTCACGTCTTTTGACTCATAAGCTCTGGGGAGGAAGTTGATGCCAACTAAACGCTCAATCAAGACATTGTTGGATCGGTAGACCTGTACTCCATTTCCCTTTGGACTGTACAAAAGACCTCGTCCACGTATGGTAACATCGCTCGAGTTGGTTACTGTGATATCGGGGGCTGAAACCACTGCTCCGCCGGCAACATATAGAGTTTTGCCAGATCCAACTTCGAGCGTAGAATTGAGCTTATGATAGCCAGGACCATAGTACAGGACATCCTTATCATCCTCTGATGGGACACCTGTATCAGGAGGGTTGGTGAAGATGTGCAGAACATCAAAGATGTCATCGTTGACTTGAACAATAATATCCCGGGGCTCATCCAAGGTGAAAGTGACAACGGAGCCAGATTTCTTTGGGGTCAAGTTGAGAGAGTAAGGTCTGATAACGGCCTTGGAAACTCGTTCTTTGAGATATCTGGCTTGGATTTCTACAGTACCGTTGAAATCAAAATAGGCCAGAGACGAGTTATGCTTGATTGAACTGCCGGTGGTAAAGTTGACCTCGTTGAGAACAGGCTGAAATGTCTCGATCTTTTCCCACTTGCCACCTGGGACACGGGCTTTGACATCGAAGGAGCTTGCGATAGGGACGCCGTCGGGGATAGGCCACGTCTGAAGAGAGCCCTGAGGGGTTTTCGCACCTTCAGCAAAGGTGCTGGGGCCAAGGAGGAAGAAGCATGCTGATTTGACAGCCGTGCTGAGTCTCATGGTAGTAGTTTGGGCAATACAACAGGCAAACAAGACAAATGTAGGTAAATTGGTATACGATTGAGGTGAGGAGGCAAGATATGAATTGAAAGGAATATATCGGGCTCAGACTTGGCATTTGCGTATTTATACACGGGAATTGAATATCTATCGCTAAAGATGTAGTCAGGGGTACTCCATTACGGAGTCCACTCGGCACTCTAATGCCCCGCTTCCCCGGACCAGAAGGCTGGCGCTAAGACACATCTTGAACCTCGCCATGCTGATCTCGGAGTCATTGCCGATACTTTTCCCTTCGCTGCAACCTGACAGGGAATTAAGCCATACTGGAGCCCAAATGGCAGTATATCGAACGAGAGCCAGAGATACCTCTAGCCGATGAATAGTCCGACGTAAATAATCCGAGGCGGGACCGGCCTCAGGGAGTAAATAAACGTCGGATGTTAGTACAGGATAATAAAATAAACTGAGCGAAGACTATCCTAAACCTAGGCTAGATTCATACCAAGCTATTTGAGTCTTTTATCACTTAGGATCAAGCTCCCGAGTCTTTTTCCCTTCATCCGAGGAATCTTACCTTAAGGCGGACTCCCGTAGGATAGTTGGGTCCAACTGTTGTGGATTGCGAGCTCCAAATCAGAGCTCCAAATGAGTGTGATAACATTGCAGTCAAAAGTCTTTGCTCCTGCTGTAGGCCGGTTTGTGTCGTATTTTATGCCGTGGCTTGCAGTAGCGTAGGACTTATCACCATTTACTAGGAGTCCTTGGAGCGAGGCCAACGATTAACGCGGGGTATACTTTGACTTTGCCAATTCAATCACAAAAACATTACCCCTCATGCCATAAACACTATGGATTACATTTACGAGTCGCTTAAACCGAACAGCATCCGGCTATTGAGGCTTGCGCCTGGGGAATGGAACGCCCCGATTTGCTGTGACCTATATCAAGCACCACTGGATGAATCGCATCCTTACGAAGCTCTGTCTTACTGCTGGGGTAGTGCAGATAACCGCCCCAGCATCAGCCTCAACAACTGTCCTCACTTGGTCACAAAGAACCTTGAAGCCGCGCTTCGTCACCTACGTTTAGAAAATAAGCCCCGAAAGTTATGGGTTGATGCGCTTTGCATAAATCAGGAGTCATTTGAAGACAAAAACGCTCAGGTTTTAATGATGGATGAGATATACCGTCGTTCTCAGAATGTCGTTAGCTGGCTTGGTGAAGCGAGCCACGAGAGCGATGAAGCTATGAGAACGATGAGAATTCTCGGAAGATGGGCGAGAGACAATGAATCAGATATATTTGATGGTCCAAGTAAGAATCAGGAACACCTGACCGTCAGCGAATACTTCGAGGCAAAAGGCTTTCCAATGTCGAGTCAGAATTGGTCGGCAGTCTTAAGTCTTCTTGAACGCCCTTACTGGACACGTGTCTGGATCATCCAGGAGCTCGCAGTCAAAGGCTTCCTCTTTAGAAGCACTGGGGATATTATATGCGGCACATCCTCTATAAGCAGAATCGAGTTCGATGTCGCATGTGTTGCAATTCTCCTTACTGTACAAGGAAGCTCAGCCCGGGGAACGGGTTCCAGTTTCGATGTTGACGAACCGCTTCGGTCCATTCTCTTGAGAGGGTGGCCCCCAGGTCTCGCAATGATCCAGACGATCTCTGCTTGCAACGGACCCGAGAAACCCACACTGACAACATTGATCGAGGTTTCGACGCGATTCGAGGCGTCAAATTGCAGGGATAAGATATTCGCCTTACGAGGTCTGGCATGCGAGCGGGACCGCCTCTTACAACCTGACTACGAGCAGCCTGTTTCAACGGTATTAATGAATGTCGTTGATTTTCTTATCACGTCTTGGGGAAACCTGCATATCTTGCTGGGTAATCGCTTTGAGGTGAACCCCGACGGTCCTAGCTGGACACCAGATCTTGGAAGCCGGCTGAGGGGGGATACCACATTGAGAATATTTAACAAGACGTTTAAAGCAGATGATGGCCAAGGCCTAAATGTCGAAATGGACAAGAGTTTGGGAACTCTGAGCTGCAAAGGCATTTTACTCGCAATTGCGAGAAGAGTTATTGGTCCTTATATACAAGGTCAAAAACCAGCGGATGGAGCTGATAACTATCAGGAGGTCACTAGTGGGTTTGGAAATCGTCAATTCTTCGCTGAGATATGTGATTTCTGTCGGCCCCTCTCGGAAACGGACAAAACTCTGCTGTGCAGGACTCTTGTCATGGATCATGACTCAGCTACACCTGGGGAAGATCCCTCATACCCGGCCCCAGCCGAGTTTGTTGACATGATGCAAGCTGTATTCGAACAGAAACCAGTTCCTGAGAGCTTCATACATGAAGGGAGCCGTATTGACAGATGGATACAATATACCGCTCCCTTTTCAAAGTCAATTGAAAACGCAAGCTCTAATCGTTGCTTTTTTGTTACTGAAAGTGGGGGCATGGGAATGGGACCATTCTCCATGAAGCCTGGTGATATAATTGTGGTGCTGTTTGGAAGCCCCTTCTGTCTTGTCTTGCGGTCGGTCCAGGGAACAGATCGGTTTAACCTTATTGGTGACGCATATGTTCATGGTGCGATGGGCGGTGAATTTGTGAAATCAGCAAGGCCAGATGAGTATCGAACCTTTGTACTTGCTTAGTAGGATGATATCTTTAGTGTTGATACAAGTTTCAAGCCTGAATTCTGCCTCTTGGCAAGAAACAATATCATGCAGGTTAGCGTAAACTCACTTAAGCGAGCTATTTTGCCATGCACAATTGCAGAAGATCGACGAGTTTTCAGCTGCGCAGCCAAAGGTAATGGCATTTACAAGTGCGATTAGCGTACCGTGGGTCCTTATGATTCAAGCATCAATGACTCTCTGTATATCGTATATACGTCGGGAGTTGATGTCTCATATACTGCCACGTAAATTGACTAGTGCTGGTGTCTCAGCAGCGACTGGTTCTTGGTGTCTCAGGATCAAAATGCCGCGCTAATCTTTAATCTTCGCTTGTAGTATTCGATTCATCCAGAGTTCTCTCATCTGAGCACTATTTCAGCTATCGCTTGCATTCTGGTGAATGATCCTTCATTTTTGGAAGGCGAACTAAAGACTGGGCAATGACTACAAGGTTGTAAAACTTCAAATGAGTAATACGGACCCAAATCGACATTGATGAACTACCTCTCACTCACCTGGAGAAATACAGAAGATAGATGATCGCTGTGAGTAAATAAGGCAAATGGATTCGGCACTGATCCCTTGGCCCCACCAGAATTAATGTTATATGTGGCCAACTACCGGTGTTGTCTTCGTTCTGTCAGGCGACTATGACATAGACAGTAGCCAGAAGATTAAGAGAATAACGATAATCATGCAAGTTACCAAGTTGAACAGTCACATACCAGAAGATCAAGTTCTGAACCCAGCGCACCAAGGAAACCTTAATCCTACTACATAGATACCCAAATCTACGGCCAACTATACCAATACGGTGATGGAAAGCAACGCATCTATCGTGCGATATGATTCCAACTCCACATTTGACGAACCCAGGAGGAATCGAATTATCCCCTTCCCAGACTCGCGTATGATAGCATCATGGAGAATGGACAATGGCAGCTGAACTCCACTCTGAGGCAATTCCAGTGTCCGATGGCAACTATAAAGCAGCTGTATCGTCCCTTCCAATCAAATCTATCAGCAACACTCACAATCAAGACTTTGCAACACAAGCACTTCAATCTCAAGGACATTATCAAGTCAACACCATGAAGGTCTCTACCATGCTCGTGTTTCCTGTCCTAGCTCTTGGAGCTGCTACGCCCAAGCTTCCGGTTTCTTCTATCGATCCTGCCTGTCTTGAGAGTATCACCAGTGTCGCCGACTGCATCAAGAGCCTCAAACCCACCGGTGCCGCTGCTCTTACCGATGTCGCAGTCTGGTAAGTCTAATACTCCTTGTTATTCCCTGATATAGATCATGAGCTAATAGGATATAGTCTCGCCGAACTTGTGGCTGGGGTCCAAAAGTGTATCCCGGGTGTCACTGGCGGTTTGCCTTCTGGTCTTCCAACTGCCCTCCCCACTGGACTGCCTGTTCCCCTGCCCACTCCCCTTCCCGGTGGCCTTCCTGGAGCTGGTATCCCTGGAATTCATGGGCTTCCTTGAGTCCTTTCCAGAATTCCAACAGCCTTTCAGGCTTCGGTTCCCCTGGAGGATGGACTGACGATGTTGAATAACATGAGGAGTCAACAAATGTGTCAAACATTTGCTTGGAAGCTGCTGTTGGTTATTGGAGGTTTTGGATGGGAACAGACCCACTGCGCATACCTTACTATAGTATTACACTTGCAAATACTTTACAAATCAGAAAACTATGGATACCTCTAGTGTTGGTATTTTGCGTGATGTAACACCCTATTGTTGAGTACGATGCTATATCAGATAGGCAACACCTTGTTCTATTCAGGTCATCCAACCTGTTGTTCGACAGCACTGAGCACGACATACTGGCCACAAATCTAGATCGGAGCATACTTGCAATGGACAGATTTTAGATTGCTGTAGTCCTGGTCTTGTCCAATAGAGCGAGCACTTTAGAGTGTACTCTGACTCGCAGCATGTTACCAAGTGTCGGCTTGCAGCCAAGATGAACCGTGAAGAAATGCAGTTGCTCTTTGATTCGACGTACTAAGAGTTACCAGTCTAACTGCAAGCTCTGGGGAGCCCAGCTGACCAATGCAACCATGCCTGTATATCCAGTCAGCGATCAAGCTCGTCGATAGGGATCAGAGTCTTCACCTCACAGAGCACTGGAAAGTCAGAGAATTTCTCACTCACGAGGCTAGAACGGTCAAGGTGTCCCGCATGGATGCCACCTACTGGCTGACATTGGCCTCAAACCGAGTCTCAGATGGTGGACCACCAACCTCCGGGCTCCACCCATGAGAATAGCCCAGTTATCGAGGAAGCTTGGATTTACGCCAAGATATAGAAACTTGAGGCCTCGATCCTGCGTCACAGAAGGACTGTGGTAAGTTTGTTATATCTTAGTAGGCGTTTAGCCCAGTTTATCCTGCTTGCTCAAGACTACCAGGCATCCCAAAGCCCGATTAGAGTTTTTGGCCTGTCCGGGTGTAGTTAGTCTATCTTCGTTACCCACCTAAGGGTATTTGTCATCCTCCACCTCGGCATTATGTTCCGTGATGGAACTGACTGACTCACTGATCTTTATTTCATGATCAATCAAATTTCTTCTTTTTCTTCTCCCGACTCAGCAGTGTTAGAATCTCAACAACACACGTTATTGCAATCATGTCTCACCTTACCTACACTGCCTACGAAGGCTATGGCGAGCGCGCCAAGAAGGACCTCTGGTACAGCCAAGCCGTCCGTGTCGGAGACGTCATTGAATGTTCTGGGCAAGGTACGATTCATTCCTAGAAATAAAAGCGGCGTTGCTGAAATACAGTTAGGCGGCTGGGATCGAGAGACAGAAAAGATCGACCCGAATGTTGTAGTACAAATTGAGAAAGCATTCGACAACGTGGAATGTGCGTTAAAGGCAGCAGGTAGTCGCGGCTGGGAGGATGTTTTCTTCCTAAGATCACATCACTTGCCCTGCAACAACGAGGCAATTGAGACGATGGTTCGCTGCCTCAAGAAGTATTGTCCGAATCATCAGCCGACATGGACAGCCTTGGGGGTCCCTCGCTTGGCTCTGGACGATATGCGAGTAGAGATCGAGGTGCGCGCGCATGTCCCTAAGGACCGAGAAGAGAAGTAAAGGTGATGGTTGAGTAGACCGGATAGGCAGGTCCTTAAATTGAGTATACTCTCAACTCAGTGTGCAATGCACCAAACGCTGGTCTATAAAATTGCACCATCGAAGTTATTCCCGGGTATCTTAGTCTACGGACTCAGTGTTTTTTTGCGTATAGGCAGACGACCGTGAGATGCATGATTGATGATCATTTCAGGAAGCTACTTTGACAAGCCATGCAATACTGTATATGTGAACGAAGCGCAATCAGGGCCCAAAAAAAAAAAGTAGTGTATTATTGCCATCAATATATCTGGCTGTTCTCCTTTGCTGACCATTTCTTTTTCTTAAATTGTTATCGTTATTATCATATCGCCAGCTAAGCAGGTGGATCTGGTTCTAAAACGAGCGAATCGGGGACTGCGGCCAATCCAGAGTGCGTCATTATAGTTGCGCACCAACAGAGCTGCTGAATAAATGTAAGACTGGGAAAAAGAGAATGGGGGGCCAATTTCTGGACATATAATTCGTAAATCTCGTATAGAACGACGAGTCTCAAAATCACATCTCATAGAGTAAAGCGGCGTCATACGTCTTGATAAGAAGCCAATGCGCTTCAAATTTCTCCTCTGTAGTGCCCGAGACCTTCTGTTGGTTGCCGGATTGCCAATGCGCTTTATTACTTGGATTTGGGCAACCTGAATCTGCAATCAATCACCAACGCTGGTGAGTTTTGACTCTTCATCAACCGGGCAAATTACAGAGCTGCTCCAGGTCCATCCTGTTACACGAGTATCTGATTGGACCGGTTGACAGTTTCGAATCTTGGGGCTGTTAAGATGAATGAGGCGGATATTGACTCGAGTTCCACTGCGGGGAGCTTGCTCGTGATCTTGCTTTGAGGCGGCCATAAAGAGCCAAGATTGGAGCGCTTCGAGTAGCGCGCTCTAGCGCCCTTTCACAGGTCCATCAGTCATACATGCCCAGATAGCGGGGTTGATGTGCTGTAGGTAAAATATTCCTGTCTCCTCAAACATAAATACTCTCCCGCCTTTCTTTTCTCATTCTTTCATCTCATATACCCTTTAAAAACACTCGATTTCACAATGTCTCAAGGCAAGACTTTCACCCTCAGCACCGGCGCCAAGATCCCGTAAGTAAACCCCACGAGGCCCAGAGAAGAATGAGCTAATTGTTTTTCAGTCTCTTGGGATACGGCACATGGCAAGCCTCTCCCGGTGAGGTCGGTCAGGGTGTCTACGAGGCTCTCAAGGTTGGATACCGACACTTGGATCTCGCCAAGGTCTACGGAAACCAGCCTGAGATCGCCGAGGCCTTGAAGAAGTCCTTTGCTGAGATCCCTGGCCTCAAGCGAGAGGATGTCTTCATCACCTCCAAGCTCTGGAACTCGCAGCACGACCCTAAGCAGGTCGAGGCTGCTCTGGATGACTGTCTGCAGGAGCTCGGTCTTGAGTACCTTGATCTCTACCTCATCCACTTCCCCGTTTCTTTCAAGAACTCTGGAGCTCCTATTGGTCAGGATCTGTTCCCTCTCACCGGAGGAAACCAGCCCGATGGTGACGTCGTCATTGATGACAGCATCTCCATCGTCGACACATGGAAGGGTGAGTTTAGCTATCCAATCTAGACTTTTGATGAATGCGGCTAACCTCTCTCTGTACAGCTGTGACCGAGCTGCCTAAGTCCAAGGCCCGCGCCGTCGGCGTTTCCAACCATACCAAGGAGCACGTAAGTAGTTTCCCTATGTGACGCTGAAACAAAGAAGCTAACGCGACCTAAAGCTCGAGGCTATCATCAAGGGCACTGGAGTTGTCCCTGCTGTCAACCAGATTGAGCGCCATCCTCTCCTGATCCAGAAGGATCTCATTGACTACTGCAAGGAGAAGAACATCCACGTTACCGCATACTCTGTAAGTTGCTGCTGAGCAAATGAAGAATTCGGCTCTAATTTATGCTTAGGCTTTCGGTAACAACATGGTCAACGCTCCCCTCCTTTTCACCTACCCCGAGATCAAGGCCGTCGCCGAGCGATTGACCAAGGAGAAGGGTCAACCCGTTTCACCCACTCAAGTCCTGTAAGTCATCATCACCTCCATGTTGCACTTGTTTACATGGCTAACAAGAGTACAGTCTCGCCTGGGCTCAGGTTGGTGGCCACAGTGTCATCCCCAAGTCTGTTACACCTAAGCGCATTGCCGAGAACTTCCAGGAGATCGACTTGTCCGAGGAGGATATCCGCGAGATCGAGCAGGTCGGCAAGGAGCAGCGCCGGTACAACGTTCCTTACGTCGCTAGTAAGTCCAATCTCAATACTCCTTACAAAGTCAGTGCTGACCAAGTCTCAACAGACAAGCCTCGCTGGGACGTCAACATCTTCAGCCACGAGGATGAGAAGCCTGCCACTCACCAGGTCATTATTTAGATAAAAGTAAAAGTAGATATAGAAACGCTTGATTTGTTTTCTCGTATTATGAAGAAGTATATATCTTGATTATGTACTCGGAACTCACTAGTGATCCATAAAGATCCACATAAACATATGTCCTGGATATTCACCACCTATTACTATCTCGACTTCCAAATGATATCTAGATCACGGCAATACCTCAGGGCATAGGTCATTCTTGTGACCTCCCACGAAGCCTCAAGATCTTCCTTCACCACCAGCCTCTCTTCAGGTGAAGAAAGAAATACTCCCAAGGTATACGCTGGCCAATTCCCCGCATAGGATCTTGCCCATTCTCGACTCCCTTGGTGACTCTTGAGAATTCGTAGGAACATTTTTATCTGCCACTTGTCCCCTGATACAGCCGATGGCATAGTCACTCTACTCCCATTCTCACTAATCTCTTCCAACAGGAGAGACGCAACTAACGCATATAAATATGTTTCGTCCCTGATTTTTAAGCTGGGTATCTTTCTCACTGTATCGGTGGAGGTGTAAATGGATTCTGAGTCCGGATCACAGAGTTGTGCTTCCCAGAACTGTACCTCTTGTTGTATCTGGCTGAAAACTGCGGGATCTAAACTGACACCCGAGCGATAACATTCTCGTAGAATTATGGCTGTGCGGAAGAAAGACAACGGCACCCCTAAGACAGGGCTTTCAACATTCCAAGGCGCTCCTGACAAGAGTGAGGACCTGTTGAGGAGCTTCTCAACACTATCCCAGAAATCCGGGTCGAACACAAAGTCAGATTGGCTGCTTTCTGACCATAGACCTGTTGAGAGCAGGAACTGCTGATAGATGACACTTTCAAGGGCGAGTCTGTCGAACAATCGTTGAATGCCGGCCGGTTTGTCGAGCAGTCTCAAAGTTACTATACGCGTCGCTGCATTGACGTGCTGTGCAACATCACTATGCGTGCCCCATCCTAAGCACTTCTGCTGTCAGTGATTGACTTCCTGTCATAATCGTTGGATGACGTACACCGTGAAGATAAAGCAGCATGACAGACATGAGGAGCGCGTCGTGGTTCTCATATTGAGCAACCTTCCCAAGCAAAAGCTGAAGTTCTTTCACCCCTTCAGCGTAATAGGATAACGCAAGAGGATGCATTTCCCAGACAGAGTCGGTGAGGAATATGTGTGATGCAGCACAAGCCAAGACTGAGTAGTATAAGCTCTTGTGAGTCACCATCAGCTGCTTGATTTCGGTGAGCCAGCCGTCGTGGAATCCGCGATAACAGTCTGGTAGTAGGAGGAGGGAAAAGTATTTATCGGAAAAGTGATCTGAGACACGGAGCTCTAGGTGGTTGGAGAGCACGCGGTGTACGGTGGCGGCCTGCGATAGGAGGTCTAATGGACAGACAGAATCCATCTCGTAGTTTGTTGATGTGCTGGAGGGAGAGAGGGCATGTTGAATGGGCTGAGTGCTGCAGCTGGGTATCAAGGAAAGGCCTTCATCATCGGGTTCAGGTATTTGTTCTTTGAGGCTACGATCTTGGTGCCGTGAATCGCTATGGTGGGAGTATCGACGATCGAGTAAATCGCTTGCTGACGGCCATATGCATCTTCGCCCTGAAGATCGGCACAAATCGCAGATCGGGGTCTTCTCGTCGCATTTCTTACGTCTTTGTCTACCTGGTTGTCTAAATGTTAGCAACACGACCTACCGCATGCTATAGACTCACATGTAAAGCAACCAGTTTTTGTGCGTAACTTCTTCCGCGAAGTGTTAATTTTATCGGTCATCGTCGCATCTCTGGGTCTGGACACAAACAAGAAATCGCGGGCGGGGGCATTTATGAAGTGGTTTATTGGAGACGACAACGGGCAAGGGAGGAGCTTCAGGCGCTATTTGAATCTAACGTTGGCGTGTGACCAGGGACATCTTGACCTAAACAGGTTAACCTGTGTTCCTGGCGTGCGTCAGCGTTATCTGGGGCTGATCATCTCCAACGTCACTGGACGATAGCTTCACGGTGGAGTTGTTGGGATGCGGGGTTAACATGGATGGTTATCCTGCCAGACGCTTGGCACAACGATAGCCGATATCAAGATCCCATTCGCCCAATCAGTTCCTTGTTGCATATCTCGATCTACTGGATGTTGTTATCAAGACACCTGAGAGACTTATCAAGGTTGTTCGGGAGGAATGGAAAGCAGAAGATTGAGTTAAGGATTTGTGAATACGCGTCTGAAGAGCTACAACGATTAAGAATGTCAAGTTATGAGGCTCTAGATACTCTCAAATGCCAATATTCCTAAGGTCCGACGACTCTCTCCTCATTACACTACAGGAAGTAACTAGTATTACCATTTCTCCATCAGTGGCTTGCTTGACCATCCTCAGCCAGCTCATAATATTTCTCAGCACTACGAGTTCTGAACATCTTGCCATAGACCATCATAATGATGAACGCAGAGGAGGCTGCCATTCCGACAAAAGCTGCGGAAATGAAGCAGTTCTGATACCCAAGATGAGTGATCCAAGGGGTAATGCTAATCAACCTGTTAGCGATAATTGACAAGATTCGTCGGAATGAGACTTACCCATAGCTGATTGCAAAAGACATGGTGTTGCGAATGAGAATAACCGTGACGATCGCATCGCCACTAATGCCATGATAACTATCAATGAGATAGTTGACGCTGAGAGTTACGCCTACAGCGCTGGTGAAGGCGAGACATCCCATCGCAAAGACAAGTCCGAACCAATGGACTCCATGGGCAGCTCCGACACCCCAGAGAATCAGTGAACATGGTACCATGACGACACAGATGGCAAATGGCCAAAGGCGGCTTTCAGCTTCCATAATTCCGCCATTGCGACGGGCAAGTCTGATGGTCAGAATATCACTAAGTCTGCCAGAGACCAGAGCTCCAACGATGACACCGACGCAACAAGCAAGGTAGCTAAGGCCAACCATAGATGAACTAAAGTTGTAGGGCTCTCCGGAAAGAATCAGTGAGGCCGTTGCGTTGAGAACATTGAACCAGATGAGATATGAACCGTAGGAAAAACCGGCGTAGAAGATAACAGGCCAAGTCAGATACTTCAACGATCGCCACGATCGCGTGAGCATGTTTTGTCCCGGCGACGGCTGCCAAAGCGACATCTTCTGGATAAAGGTCTTGGGGGTATTATAAACCTCGCCATTCTCCGCGGCCGGCGTGTCTGCAGTCACGGGATCACTCTTTTCATTCTTGATCTCACCCTGAGAGAGAAACCTCGGTAGTGTCCTCAGAAACGAGTTCACGGGTGTAATTGGTCTCTTCCATGAAGAGGAAGAGGAAGACAAACACAGCCGCCAGGAAGATAGCGGGCCAGTAAAAGACCCACTGCCAGCCTTGGTGATCGGCGATGAAGCCGCATACAACTGGGGCAAAGTAGTTGCTGCCAGCGAGGGCAAATGAATAAATTCCCATGTATGTACCGCGCTCGTGGGTGAAGTACTGCGCGCGTTAGGGGAAGCTTTAATAAGTGGTTTGGACACTTACAATGTCGGTGACTGAGATCTCAGGAAGAGCTTCGATGGGCGAAATGAAGAAGCCTTGGATAATGCACTTTGCTAGCCATTCGCCATTGCTTTTGACATATGCACTAAGATATCGTTAGATAACGGAAACTTATCAGGTTCGAGATCGAAACCAACCTCCAAATACTGGTGCCCTAAGCAATAAGTTGTTAGAAATATTAACCAGTCTCACACGGTGGGTCACTTACTATTGCACCAAGGATAGAGATCAGGTACGTCAAGCGTTTGCCATAGCGCAAAGAGAAAGGCTGCCAGAAAAGAAGACTCCAGCCAAGAAAGAGAAACATATATCCCGTTCCCTCATTGAGAGTTGCGATGGAAACGCCAGATTGAGCGGAGAGGGGTACAAGGACGGAATAGACAGTTGACACTGCAAAGCCAGCGAACCAGGTATATCTACACATCATTAGTTGTCTTGCAGCAAGTAGAGTACACCTCATGACGTACAGGTTCTGACAAATCAGTGAGAGGAGCTTGCGACGGGGAGTCCAGTTCAGCGGATCATTGGGGTCCTTGGATGGAGTCGGGTTCAGGACAATGTCGGCAGATGAACTGGCATGACGAGCATGCATGTCATGGTCCAGATCCACAAGGTGGACAGTACCAGGGATGCTGATAGATTCGGACATTGTTGGTAGGCTAAAGATGAAAGAAAAGCGGATTGGTACGAGATCTGATGGATACAGACGTGCGTTGAGGCCTGCCAATATATACCCTATCTACCAAGCAAAGAATGATACAGCTGATATGATGAAGCTCTGAATACCGATAGCTTAGGTTAGTTATCTTGGTTTCCGAGATTCGCTTCCCCGCTGGGAGGGGGGCGGATAAGCTAGTGGTGCATCCATGTAACATGATGGCGCAAATACACGTGAATGGTCAGTCTTATCGTCTTGGTGGGACGTGGGCTTGAGCTAAGTTAGGTTGGTGATTCTGCCCAATGATGTGTATTTGCGACGGATCCTCGCGTCGACCTACCTTAAGAGACTAGGAATGCAATTCCGAAAGTTACATGAGCGGGCGAGAGGAACGAGATGATTATCCCGGTGTAATCACGAGTAGTATTAATACTGAAGTTATCTTTCAATCTATCCGGTCTATCTACGTTTCTTCCATCCAAAGCCATTATCTCTGAACATATCAATCTTGATCAGACATCGTCCCCAATTCACCATGAGCGTCCTTTCACCTGCCCCTATTCCGCTTTCTCAGCCTCCAGCCCTGATCAAAGATGCCTCCATTGTTCAAGTGAGAGCCACCGATGATGTAGAGCAGCCTGCTTCATTCACTGTTGAACCAAAGCCTGTTCCTCGCGGAACACCTGCCTTTGAGGCTAGACGCGCTGCTCTTATCAACACCATCAAGGCCAAAGTCCCTCAAGAGTACTACCTCCCTGCTGAGTTGATCGCCAATCCTCCCCTTGACGTTTCCGGCATCCCTGAGTCTTGCGGCATCCTCACAGAAGACGAGGTCCGTATCACAGAAGACTATGATGCCGTTGCTTTACTACAGGCACTCGCCAGCCGTGAATTTTCGGCGGTTCAAGTCGCCACGGCTTTTGCCAAGCGTTCTATCATCGCACATCAACTCACTTGTTGTCTAACTCAATGGCTCATGGACGAAGCTATTGCTCAAGCAAGAGGTCTTGACGAGTATATGGCTAAGCACGGGAAACCCATTGGTCCTCTGCACGGATTGCCAATCAGCATCAAGGAACACATGGCCATAGCTGGAACGCTGTCATCTCAAGGCTGTCTGGCAAGTTTGAGAGAGGATACGACAGATAGTGACATGGTTGCGATTCTGAGGAGTCTCGGCGCCGTGTTCTATTGCAAGACCAATCAGCCCCAAACCATCATGCACCTTGAAACTGACTCGCTTTGGGGTCGTACCCTCAACCCTTTCAACATCAACCTCTCCGCAGGCGGATCGACCGGCGGCGAAGCAGCCCTCATTGCAATGAAGGGTTCTGTCCTCGGCGTTGGTACTGATATCGGCGGTAGTATCCGTGGTCCCGCAGCCTTTTGCGGTATTTACGGATTCAAGCCAACGTCATACACGATGCCAATGAGAGGTTTCGATGCAATGCCATTTCCAGCTGAGTTGACTGTTTTGGCGTCAACTGGCCCTATGTGTCGGAGCTTGAGAGACATGGACCTGCTGATGCAGTGCGTTTTGTCGTCCAAGCCCCATCTAAAGGACCCGAGATTGGTGCCCATCCCTTGGAATGGTCTCAAGACTCCCATCAATGGTCGTTTGAAGATTGGTTTTGTCGACAACGATGGATTTGTTGTTCCTCAACCTCCAGTTGTGAAGGCTCTCGCGTGGGCACGAGAGCAGCTCTGTGATCCACGATACAGTGATCTTATTGAGCTCAAGGACTTCAAGGTCTTTGACTCGGCGGGCGCTTGGTCCAAGATCCGGCGCATGTATTGGCCAGATGGTGGAAAACCAACAAGAGATGCTATCCAAGCCACAGGAGAGCCCATTCATCCTCTGAGTGACTGGATCTGGAAGGATGCAGAGGCGCTTGGAATGCAAACAGCTGTTGACTTGAGTCTTATGCGTCGGGAGAGAGATGAATTTCGCTGGGCTTTTGCCAAGAGCTGGGAAGATCAAGACGTGGATATCCTGATTGGACCTGCATTCGTCGGACCCGCATCAGCTCATGACACAGCGTTCTTCTGGAACTATACGTCGCTGTATAACCTTGTGGACTATCCTGGTGTTGTCGTTCCTACACCTGTCAAGGTGGAGGGTAGCGAGAAGTATTCTGTTGGGTATAAGCCGTTGAGCGAGGCTTGCGGACAGGTGAAGAAGTTATGGGAAGAGTCGGAATTTACTGGTGCTCCGATCAATCTGCAGATCGTGGCGAGGAAGTACCATGATAATGAGTTGTTTGGGGCGTTGGCGGTGTTGAAGGATGTATTGAAGCTGCAGTAGTTATTTGTGACACATTTGAGAACAGAGACCAAGTCTATTATCTTATCACTGAAGAGACCGACGTCCAATTGATTTGGATGAGCGTATCTGTAGAAGCGAGCAAAGTGATGCTCTAGAAGGAGACGTCATACCTCGGTCCAAGCGCACGGTTAAAGTTGAGGCTAGCGGTACGCCATGCTGCAGTCAGCGAATCGACTCCAGCGCTTTCAATGCGCTTAGACCACTGAAGATTAGCTTCCGAGTGCTTCTGTCGATCATCATGTCCTTGAAAGCCTGCATCATCGACCGAACGCGTTGCCATCACGGTAAATTTAATAAATAGCAATGTCTGCTCCACCCCAGTCAATCGTCTGATTGCATTCGTATGTCACAGAAGACAACTCAGAACGACATTATGGCAGCAGCATTCAATATCGTGCGCCAGAGCTTATTCGCCGGCAGCCCGAAATACACAGAAAATGACTTGCCCGATCTCAAAGGCAAAGTACGTCGCTATCCGTGATCATCCCCGTAGCCCTCACTGACGTCTGCTTTTCAAAATCCAGGTAATTGCCATCACAGGCTCAAATACCGGCGTCGGAAAAGAAATCGCCAAGATGGTCTACAGCAAGAATGCAAAAGTCTACATGTTCGCACGAACAACAACGAAAAACGAAAAGGCCCGCGACGAGATCAAAGCTGCCTTTCCAGAATCACATGGCGAATTGATCTGTATCCAGCTTGACCTCGCCGACCTCGATAGTGTTCAGGCAGCCGCAGCAGAATTTCTCAGCAGGGAAGATAAGCTTCACGTTCTTTTTAATAATGCAGGCGTTGGATTCCCTGAGTATGGCTCCAAGACCAAGCAGGGCTACGAACTGCAATTAGGAACCAACTGTCTTGGTAGTTTTGCGCTGACAAAGAGATTGACGCCTGTGTTGGTCGATACTGCAAAGACAGCTACACCTGGAACTGTTCGTGTTGTTTGGGCATCGTCAACAGCTGCGTTTTGGACGTCCACGAAGAAATACATCGATCGAGTTAAAGGCATTAACAAGCAGAGTCTATTTCAGCAATATGCGATTAGCAAGCTTGGAAATTACTATCACGCCACGGAATATGCTGCCCGCCACAAAAGCGACGGTATCATCTCTGTGCCGCTTAACCCTGGCAATCTCGACTCAGAGCTCTGGCGCACGCAGGGGAAATTTTTGACTTGGATTCTTCGGAAGACTGTCTTTTATCCGTCAGACTATGGTGGGTATGTGAATATCTTTGCGGGGTTCTCTCCTGATGTGACGCTTGAGAATTCGGGCAGATTTAGTAAGTAGTCCGGGATGCTTCTTGTGGATTCACTAACCTGATGGACTTTTAGTTTCGCCGTGGGGAAGGTTGTGGCATGCGCTACCGGCCATGGTCAAAGGATCAAAGACGGAGGCTGAAGGGGGAACTGGCCATGCGAAACGTTTCTGGGAGTGGACGGAGGAACAAGTCTCGCAGCATGGTTCTGCTCCGAGTGCCAAAGAGCCCCTTAGTTAGTGGTTACTAACAAAGGAAGACATGGTGAACTTTGGTATTATATGGTAAAGACATCTGGCCGCCTTGCTCTTGCGAGTTGGCAAGGTATGAAGATACACCTATTTATTTCAATTCATCTACTTGATTCATTTCCATTACACTCAGTACCTCCACAATAGTCATCCCGGACAGCAGCGGAGTAATAAATTCATTTGTCAAGCCATGAAGTTACGAAAAGTCCTAATTGTAGGCAAGGGTGCCAATAAAAAATTGGTAAAGAATTTGCTAAGCTTAGGCTAAAATACATAACCATCTTTATCCCTCGGGGCTTGTATCCCAACGTTTCTTGCCTCCTCTGATCTCGACGACGGAATATTGGGCCTGAACGTGGCTCTACCCCAGCTCTTAACAGTTTGCCTTCACCAAGCCAACAGTAATCGGTGAACCTTCATCCCGCATCGTGGTTCAAGTCCTCCGACCAAAATGTCGCTGCAACGCCTCCTTGATCAGACGGAGCCAGAAATACCAAAGCAACAAGCAATACACCTTGAAGAACACGTTGACGAAATGTCCCATCAGAAAGTAGGGAGACTTCAAGGCTTGCATGACCAAAAGCCCGGTAAGAAATCCCAAAAGCGCAGTGAGAAATCCCAGCAAAAAGTACATTTTGAAGACCGAGGATCTTCAATCCTAGTATTAGTTAGAGGGCAGTGACTGGGATACCTACGCAAGTGAACGAAACAGGTAGAAGAGAAGTGCGATGCCACCCACTGGGATGATACAATAGTACACGGCGGTGAAGAAGAGATCTAGAAGAAGTCGGATGTACTTCAGGAGGGTGATGCAGAAGGAGAGGAAGAAGAGGATGATGAATACCAAGATCAAGATGATAGAAAGGGGAAGAAGCTCACGTTGCACGGTCTTCATGGTGAGTGGGCGTTATGAGGGTGATTGGACATGAGTGAACCTCTGCGCTAGATGGTGGTAAAGGAAGTGAGTCTACTGTAGTGGAAGTGCTGCAGCTCTCCAACGCCTTTATACGCCTTCTAGTTAATTGACTTCCCGGTGGCAGTTCACCTTATATGTATTGAACCTTTAGTCATCTATCAGGAACACTGGAACTCATACAATGAACAAAGTGACATCGCCGAGCTTTGCGCCAGATAGACTGACGAATACAGGACACAAGTTGAACAGTATTCTTACGTTCCTTAACACTTGGTTTGTCATGTTCTAATCGTGCAGTCCATGTAGCAATATGTATAATAATAAGCGACTACAGACATGTGATTTGGAGGCATTTCGATGCCATGAACACCGGCAGAACTACATGGGCCACATTGGGCATGCCTTCTCTTGATGTAAGCAGACGCCTCACTCAGGAAGTTTCCATCACTGATCGGGAGGACATAAACACAGAAGCCCCCGGACCCTGGGCACTGGAACAACAACTTTTCTGGAGACGCCAGTGGTCATGGTCGTTGGTATCATACCCGAAGCTTGCGAGCGAATCACATGACCCGTTTAAGACGTTGTTTGATCTGGCCTGCACTTTCACTGGCATCACTGACCCTAGCCAGCTTGGCGAAAGGGCCCCGATCGAAGTATGGTGGGGCCAAATCGGACATCCGATCCAGGGATTCCGGGCCGTCTCAGCGATACGAGATGGACATCTTAGGTCCTAGTAGGAAGTTTTCGTAATAGGCGAAAGGCACTTGTTCAAAGATGCTATGGTGCCGAGTTCTAGGGTCGCTAGGCTACTCTGTTGAGATGGAAAAGTCTCGAAACTGCACTTTCAACATTCCGCCGTTCTGACTCTCGTCACCTTTGGGCATACAAGCCGCAACGCCAATCCAGATATCATTTTCAGGGGCAACATCAACCACCCAAGTCAACTTCCTGACTGGTGTTCTCCGCCCATCCTGACCCGTGACATATATCCAAAGCGAACCCTTCGCTTTCTCCATCTCAAAGGTAGCACAGCTCTCCCCCAACCTGACCAAGCTCCAGTCCGAGTATGGTTTCGCAGCAGCGACGGAAGCAAAGAATTCACCGTCGACGTTCTCGATGCCAGCTTTGATCCATGTTAGTGGTGATTCCTCGAGGCGCAGTTGAGAATCGGTTTGAGTGATTGGGATGCTTTCGGGCATGAACAGTATGAGACCGCCTTGGGAGTAATTCCCGGGGAAGTCTGAGGATATGGTGACTTTGGCGCTTTTGAATGAGGTTAGAGGGATGGGTGTTGCGTAGATGGGGCCGTTGAAGTCATCGCGTCCTCCAGCGCAAGAGGGAGTTCTCCAAATGTCGGGGCCGGGAAGAGCGATGAGTTCAAACGGTTCGGATTGTGGGTTTTCCGGAAGGGGTGGTTGGCTGGGCACGCCGGAGAATAATGTGAATTTCATTCTTGCTTTGATTCTCGGGGCTTTGTATTTTGAACACTCTCTCTGTAGGTCTTGTGAGTTGATGTACAGAGAAGTTGATCATGAGACTTCCGAACAGCTCATGTTTTGCTTTAGTGCGGGGTTCGTTATCGGTGAAACTGCCCGATTAGGAAGTAACGATAAGACACCCGAGACATTTAGGGTAGCCCAGGAATCGCCATTGAAACAAAAGATAGAGCCCAGTTCACTTTCATTCAATAATAGGCTTTCCTTGTGAAGGCTCAATAACCACCTCCTTTTACGCCTCCTTGTCCCAATCGGTTATCGCAGTCAAGTGTCAAACAAGATGTGCCTGAACATCCTTCATAAGAATCTCCTCCATCTCACGAGTATTCGACCCAGCCAAAACACACTGACAGACCTTGACAGCACGGAGCAAAGCAACAAGGGTGTACAATTGCTCAGCCTCATCAAGCTCCTCGTCCGTAAGAAAATCCATCACATTGTCCGCCAAACCCTGTATGTCCTGATGACCGCCCTCCTTGGCTGAAAGATCAATGTTCATGAAGTCTACCTCAAAGTCAGCCTGTAGCAGCTGCACAAGGGCCGGCGCTCCCTTCAATAAGTCCGTGGGTCCATTTGCAATTCGTTCTGTGCGACCGACGTACGAGAGCCACGCGTCGATTCTCATCAATTCGATATTGAGGTCTTCGCAGTAGCGTTCTTGATCGTGTAGGTAGCTTGATACCTGCCACTCATACGAATACAGCAATTCGAGTGCTGGGACGGTATACTGAAACGCTGGAACTCGAACACCCTTGTATGAACCTCTAGCGATAACGCCGCCTCGGGCATTACTCGCGTACGCAGGGTATGATATGCCGCCGTATGTGATCCAGTCTCGAGTTGTGTGGAAGCGGATTGGTCTGCAGTAAACCAAGCTGACATTCTCTTCCAGAAATCCTAGCAACGCTTCTAGAATGACAGTGACGGCTCCGACTAGCGATGTATCTATAGGTGCGTCGGATCGCCACGGTGTAGCCCAGAAGCCCTGGTAGATGTCCACTTGGCAGAACCAATACATGTCCATCCGGTTGAGAGAAACAACGTTCCCTCGCGATCTGTTCCGTCTGTCGCGTTCTATCTCTCTCTCTTCTCGTCTGCGACGTCGTTCAGCTTCTCTTGCGTGAGCCTTATCCTCTTTTGTTTTCGGCGTTGGCTCTGAGCCTTGTCCATCTTCTGGGTACGTCAAAAGAAATTGAGATCTGGTATCACTGGCCCACGACTCCTCGACGATAGCCTTGTCCTTTTGAATCTTTCGGCTGCGCTTGTTCCTCTTCTCCTGTCTCTTCTTGGCTGCACGGCCTCGGTCGTGGATCTCTGGACCAAACGGTCTTCCGGACTCAGACACTGCTTCATCGCCACTATCTGGTACGTCTTCGACTGTGGCTCTCCTTCGAGGTTGGTGTATATCTAGTTCTCGGTGACTCTCGCCTTGTAGGCTTCCCTCTGGCAATGTATCCCAGTGTGGTGTTTGCGTCAGAAGGAGACGAGGCACTGGCCTTGCAAACATGGCCAGGGAGCCCCCTGCACTAATCTCGGGACGGCCTGAATTCTGTTCTTCAGGCTTTAATGAGGTACTTTGAAATTGACCTCCACCTTTTTCCGTGTTAAGTGCTGTTCTTTCTATTTGTTGCTGGCCATGTACTAATGGTTCGGAAACAGGTGCTGCTGAAATATCATCATTTTGTCCCTTTCCTTTTGCTTCGTTTTGAGCTGGGTTGTCGGATTCGTCGAGATGTCTTTCGAGCGTCTTTTCTTTCACTGAACCTTGACCAGTCACCTGGGCCTGTTGTGAGGATGAGTCGTCTCTGGAGACCTGCTGGGGCAATTCCTCTGCAGAAGATGCAGCCCGTTCACCGGGAGATTTAAGTTCCGTGGTCGACGCAGATTGATGAACTGGTGTCGCCTGTGGTTCATGTCCTTCGCCAGTTCCTCCCAAATCTTTTCCCTTCTCCTTGTTCCCAATGTCCTCTGTGGCAGCTGCTTGAGCAGTCGGCCGCGGCTCTATGATGTGCCAATCTCCGTCCTGCGACCGGCGACTCACAGACACAGACCCAGTAGGCTTTGTCCTGCCTGGTGTCTTGACTTTGGTCTTCTTTTTCCTTCGGCTTTGACGTTGATCAGCGTCCACTGGAACAATCCCTGCCATATTAAACGGTCTTTTGTGCCCATGACTCCTGTGATATTGGCCGGGCTCTTGACAACTAGTCCATCGGTCGTCAAGCCGTCGACTGGTACGTCTCTTGAGCGAGTCAAAATAGACTTTTCCAACAGTACAGACATCCCATGTCCGAGACAGCCAAAAGGCATTCACGATCCCTCTATCATCTTCACCCCATGCATTCAGCGATCGAGGTAAGGGTGAAGTGATAGCTCTAGGCGTGAAATGGAGTATAGGTCCAAGAATCGGATGGTTGGAGCTAGTAATTGTGCCAATAGCGCCTTGCATCGAGAGGGACTTTTCCTTGAATGAACAGTCGGTGATTTTCATGCCTGCTGTCAACCCCATAACGGCAATGTCCCTCATAGAAACCTGCATCGGCGCCGTCACGAGATCAGATGGACATCGGTCGGCGTCGTAAGTGACAGAGCGGTATCTGACTGATCCCCCGCATGACGCGTTGATGGCTTTGCAGAAGGACACCCAAGACGCCTCACCCACGGATGCATCATTGGAAATAGAGGCTGGCTGTTTCTTTTTCGTCCGCGGTATAATTGAGCGGGCTCCCTCAAACTTGCGACGCATCCAAATGCCCAGAAAGTCCCAAGAAGTGTAGTCAGAATCTTCTGAAGAACTACAGGAGTCGGTGCTCGCTGGTGGATTTACCAATCGTGTCCTTGCGAGATTGCGACGCAGCCAAAGTCTTAAAGAATCCCAATAAGTGAAGCGGGAGCGTTCTGAGAAACTCGAAGATTCACTTCGCGTCCGTGAGCCTCTAAATCCCGTACCCATCCTATTGACATGTCTTCTATGACTGTACACAATTTCAACTGAGGAGCTTGAAGCCGAGTAGTCAACTAGCGAATCCGGTTGGAGATCAGGTAGCATCTCCTCCCCGGTAGCATAAGACTTAATATGCGGGCTCTCCTTTGGCCACAGATCAGCCTCGAGATTGATCTGAGGAATAGAGTAGAGCACTCGGAAGCGAAACTGAGAAAATTGCCAAACACGGTAGCCCTGACCTGGCAAAGGGCCAAACACGACGCTATCGCAAAGACGGATGAGCTGACCAGTGATCAAGTACTGCTGTAGTGCCTGTGCAGCAGCGACTAGGAGTGCGAAGAGTGCGACGATTAAAGCGGCTACAGCCGAAATCGCGCTTGCATCCCAGTCATTAGCCATGACTGAATTGCTTGGAATAGAAGCGAAGGTAGTTAAGCCAATATGTTGATAAGGGCGAATTGGACGAAATGTAGAGGTTGAAAACTGTAGTATTACTCGCTATGCGACTATGCTCGGGGAAAGCAGTACTGAGATTCCTC